GAGGAGCGGGTAATATGGTAAGAAGGGATCTTTAAATGGGCCACGAGAGCTCCACCAGACCCGCATTTCAAATGACACGAGCGTGCACGCGCGCACCCCGCCCCGGGACGCCGCGCCCCGCCGACCGGACCCCACGCCCGGACCCCCGGACTCCGCGTCGGGCTCGCCGGTCCCCACCTGGTCCCCCGCTCGCCGGCCGCCGCCTGAAACCCACGCCCCCGACCCCGGTCCGGGTCCCGGTCCCCGCCCCGACCCCGCTCCCCGCACCGCCCGGCGCGGCGCGTCCGGACACTCGCCCCGCTCCCCGCGTCCAGCGCCGGCTCACAAACCCGGGGGAGGCGGCCGAGCCGCAGCCGCCGGCCGCCCTCGCCCTCCTCGGGGGCTCCGGGAGCGAGACCTGGCGGCAGCCGCCCGGCCGGGGGCGCGGGGAGAGCGGCCGCGCGTGCCCCCCCGGGGCTGCACTCACATTCTGTCGGGAACTAGCAGGCGGCCCTCGACCATCATGTCCGGGAGGAAATCCAGCTTGAAGGCAGAAGTCATGTTCTCGGCGCGCGCTCTGCGCTCGGGCGGCGGGGGGCGGCTGTGCGCGCGTCCGAGCGGCCGCGGGCGGCGCGAGATGGGCAGGGACAGGTGCGCGCGGCCTCCCGGCGGCCGCCCGAGCCGGCACTTGTCACATTCTCTCCCCTCCCGCTCTCCGCCAATCCCCTCCGAAATCCAGCGCCCCGGCGACGGTCTGCGGAGCGCCAGGTGCGGCGAGCGGAGGCGGAGCTCCGCGCCCGCCGCGCCGCCGCTTAACCCCTGCGGGCCCGCCCGCCCGCCCTGCCCCCGGAGGGAGGGACCCGCCCGAGGCCCGCGGCTGGGGAAGCTGAGCTCACCAGCTTTTAAAAATAGCCAGACTTTCCTGGGGTCCCCAGCCTCCAGCAAGGCAAACTAGTTCACCACGCAGCCTCGGTCCAGTTCCGCTCAGTTCCCCCATTTGCACGGCGCCTGGCACGAGGCCCGAATAACCGCTGTGGTAGATCAGTGCCACTGTATTGCCAAAGCCTAGTTCCCATGACGGTCCAAACCCAAGTCCCCAGCCGAAGCCGGGAGAAAGGGCACCCTCACGAGTGCTTGCTGAAACGCACCTCGGTGCGATCTGCTAGCCAGTGTATGAACTCCCAACAATAACTGATCTAGCATTCGTGGGTTGGCCAAAGTATCAGATAAACGGCCCAAGTGACATTTAGGGACTTATCTCAATGCTTTAAGGACAAAGAGGACTCAATCTGCACACAATTACATTTCCTTTGTATCATCTTGGAAAAACGCACAAGTTCAGATAAGGGACTGAAAAATGTGAATCACGGTAATCACGTTTTCTTTTAAAAAGGAAACAAATTTGTCCTTTTCTAGTATTTAAGGATGAAAAACCAACGGACTTTACTGAAAGACTGTGAGAGCTGTAACGTAACGGCCATGAGGCCTAAACATCCATTTAAGATGTGTGACTTGACTAATAGGAGTGGTGAAAAATGGCGAAAATCTCCAAGGAATAAAGCAGGGAGTTGAATTTTCCCAAGCGACTTGCAACAATTCTTGAAAGGTAAGTATACAGTGACGTTCTAAATCGCTGTTGTCATTGTTTTGTTTGGTTATTTAGATGAAAGCAAACTGTTCACAAGGCCACAGGATGCAAGGATGTAAAACTTCTCATATTTCATGTGCTAAAGCAACATCATAAACTGCATACCAGAATTACAGTTTGCCTCTTATGGTAATCGCTCTCATTTTGTAAGGACATAGCACACGCCTGGGGATACAGTCACGGTAGCCAGAGGGTTAAACAACTAAGTCACGTGTAGTTACATACACCAGGTATAAGCCTGATGTATCAGGCACCATTATTCAGAGAAACGATCTTTTCTCACAACTTCTTGTGCGATCATGAGACCTGACCATCTTTTGAGATTATGAATGAAAACAAATATTTATATACCAATTTTAAATCCACCTATCAATTTTAAATCCAGGCTTGATGGATGGCTTGAGTAATATGAAGTAACAGGCCCGGAGTATTCAATTAAGTCCATACATACTTAATGGACTTGATTTCCTCCTTCAGCTGAACAGTATATCTGGCTTTGACCAAGGCACTTCTAATTCCAAGACAGATGCAGGGCTAGGACTAACCTTCATTTTAAAATATTGCCTTTCTGAGGAATGAGGTCTAAGTTCACAAGGAATTGAAAAACAGAAATTGAATAACAGATGCAATGAAATGAGTTCTTAGACCCAAAATGCCCAAACTTTTCCTGATAGCATCGAGTTCAGCTTACTCCCTCTCCTCGCTACTATTGGCTGCCTTTGAAGTGATAAGAATTTTGTTGGTCTTTCAATAACCTTAATAAAGTAATTAACTGGATAAATGAGACCAACCTGGTCAGTTCTTGGTTTTCGTACATTTATATAAATCCCAAATGTATATAATGAGCCAACTGTATAACAAACTCATTTTCAGAATGAACATAGCCGGCCTCCAGAACAGAAGCAAAACACAGCCGCCTTCATCAAAAAGAAACATATTTTCAAATCAGCTGTGGAATAAAGCTCCATACGTATCTCCATTCTATAAGGTATAAGACGCTTCATTAACATGTACACTTCTGAAATATTTATTTTCTCTTTAATTGCATGTGAATTAGTTGGGAGAAGCTGTAGGGAAGCCCTCTTACTGACTTAAGCCTTCTCAGCAGTTTGTTCAATTCTAGTCTCAAATCCCTTGAGGCAATAGTGGATTCAAAGCAGCTTTTAATCACACTATAAGGAGGGTGAAGTAGTATGTAAGTAGGTCATAGAGAAAGAATTACAAGTGCATAGGTTATTGCCTTATTTAACAACTACGGTGTATGTACCAGAGTTTTCAAAGCACATTTGCTTCTGCCATTTAAAGTTAGAAGCAAAACCAGGGTCAAGTATAAAAAGAAAACCCACTCTTACATGGGATACCGTGATGATGTGAACCAAGGAACGCTTATGGAGTGTAGCTGAGTTTAAATCGTTTGGCTGCCAAATACATAAATAATACAGTGATTGCACAGGCACTTGATGCAGGTGCCAAAGAGAAACAAAATACACACATACACACACCCTCCACAGGGTGTTGTTTCCATGATCATAGCACATACACAATAGTCCTTTTAAAAAATACAAATTTCAAAAGCTCTTGAGTCTAGAAACGAAAACAAAACAAAAACACCCAACCAAATACCACCTGATGAAAAGCGTAAATTTCCCGTTTCACTGCTTTGGCAGAAGGAAAAAACAAAATCTAGAAACAACTCAATGGGGCCCCTTTTTTAATTTTCATGCAGTAATGAGCCATCAGGTATCATGTTTTGGCAGTTGGTGTTATTTGGCAGACAGCTCCGCTGGGCCGCTGTTCACTCGGGTTCAATGGAGCTATTTTATAGCCAAGGATCTTATCAACAGCAGTGAAAAGGGATGAGGCCATCAGCGGGCCCCTCTCGTGGACATGACCTGGTTGGTGACACCACTGTGTGCTGACATCACTGGGGATGGGTCTGTGGGGAACAATGAAGATTCCTCATAGTTTTAGCTTCATTGTAGAAAAACCTTAAGCTCTTTCCTAGGCCCATCCCCCTACCTTCTCTAATTGTCTTTTTTTTTTTTTAATCAACTTGCTATTCATTTCCCAAACAAAAGGCAATTCAAGAATTGGAAGCACTTCAAGGGAAAGTTTCTGAATGACCTCATTTTATATGAGGCCTTCCAAGGCAATCGGGTGCTCTGTGCTGTTTCAGCAAGCTGCTTCCCCCCACCCCCATGCCTCATCTCAAACTGAGTTTTCTCCAATGGTCATTGTTTGCGCACTGAATTATCACTGGCATTAAAAAAAAAATCTCAATAGAAACAGCATGCTAATAAATGCATTTGTACATAGAGTACACACTGCAGGGAAAAATACTATCCCAGTCACCCCACTCAATCAACAAACCAGAATATAGTCCCTTGATCAAAAAGCTTTCAACATTTTTGCAGAAAGTTTATACCGTAAGTTAGAGACTGGTGCTTGCTATATGGTGATTAGCATTTATAAGCAATTTTTCCCCCTACAGATAACCTTGTATATTTCATGATAAATTTCCATTTTTTAATTGTTCCTATACACAATGTCCTACATTGCAATCTCTTTAAAAGCAGAACACCATCAGCTATTTATCATAGATATCATCTTCACAAAAGCGTCTCCCCCTCCCCCCCGCCCCCCCACTTCTGGCTCATCATTACAAACTGGAATCCAAAACATCTTTGCCCTATCACATTTTCGAATTCAAATTTTATTAACATAGCTGTTTCGGTTAAAAAAAAAAAAAAGCCTAATGTGCTCAGGGCCATTTGGAGCAAGACATACAGGCCCTATAAGGGGATTTCCTATCGTTTCTAGCCAATAAATTTGAAATCCACATGAATGTTAACTACCTGAGAGAATATCTGACTTTGTGGCCATGTGTTTGTTCTTGGCTTTCTCCAGTTTCATTAGTAACTTGCAAAAATAAACAATGCTGTTTTTTTATGTGCTTCAAAACACCCAAACAGATCCTTAAGCGATACATTGAAATACATCTTTTCTTCATCCCATAAAGGCATCCCTTAAAAAGACTTTTATCGCCAATTATAAATTTAAAGTGATCACTTTATTCACACACGCCCCCCCTCCCATTTTCCATTGAAAGCTTCTGGAATGGTGACTTTGTCACATCCCTAAAATGACTTAAGTAAAATTAAATGCCAATAAAGATGAAGTAGTTATTAGAGTCTTATTTTACATTTTTACAGGAATTTTAAGTAGTCACTCTCCCTTGAGAACAGCTGCTACTGGCTTTTTGCAATCTTGTGTTTTTCTGAATCTGTTTTTAATAGAGCAAAAATACATAGTGGTGAATTTATCTTCCTTCTGAAGAGGCCCTCAAAATGAAGACGGTTCTTTGTATACATACCTTCGTGCTCCGAAATGAGATGCCCCTCTAGAGTTTCCAGAAGCTTCCATTCCAAGGGGATGAAATGCTAACACTGTGGGTCTGTCAGACCCAGAGCCCAACCAGCTCATCACTTCTCTCTCTAACTTGCCTTTCCCCTTGCCTTTCTCCATGATACCGCTGCTGCCTTCTTTTTGTTCCCCCCTCTTAGCTTTCTCTCTCAGATGGAAGCTAAACAATGCCAGAAGCTTCCCTCTACAGCTGTGTGTCTGAGGAGGCAGGTGACTACCCAAGTAAAGAGAGTTGTGGTTGGTTGCTTATCTGCGAGAGAAATCAAGTTTGCCTTGCCCTGACCAAAGCTGGTTTCTGAACTAGGAACAGCTGTCTCTGGAGTGAGCCATGAGATTCCTTTCCAGACATTACCGTTGGGTGGGAGGGGGAGGATGCAAGGCTGTGTCCCATGAAGTGAGTACACAGGAGATGAGCATGGGGAAGAACGGAGAAATCGGAGGCAGAGGAAAAAGGCCTAGCGTGGTGATTCGCACACGAAGGCACTCGGTTAAAACCTCTGAAGGAATGTTCCAGTGGCCTCTTGAAGATCCTGAGATGTGTCAGGCTACACGCGGTACCCTTATCTGGTGCCAGTCTGGCGGCAGGAACAAAATTTATACCTATCAGAATGAGGCGTTTAATTCCCTGGCAATCGGCCCTCCGACACCCCCCCAACCCCCACAAAAGGTCTTCCCCAATTGGCCCCAAGTTCTCATCTTACTGTCACGTGTTGTTCAATTAAAAAAGAGAAACTTCTGCTTGACAAAACTCAACAGCTGAGTAGCAACAGCTGGGTGGGTCCAGGAGTGGGGCGGACGTGAGGTCCAGAGAGAGAGAAGCAACAGGTGGGAGTGAAGGAAAAGAAATGGGGGTTTCAAGCCTTGGGGTGGGGCTGTCTGAGACAGATCCTGGCAACCATCAAAACTTCAACTCAACTCGAGAGGCAATCTCAGAAGGCATGACAGCCCCATTTGCCCGAATGTTAACTCTCTCTCTCTCTTTTTTTTTTTCTGAACAAATACATCTTGAGGAAGAGTGAAGATTAAGAGCAAAAGCTTGGGTTTCTGTAAAACAAAACACATGAATCCACTTTACCCACAATGATGACGGATCGCCTTCAAAGAGCTTTGGTTACCAGGATCAGAAGCCACCTGATACGGGGCGTGCAGATCAGATTCTTGAAGGCAAACGCTACTTTCAAACTGAATGAAAAAGATTAGAAGATTTAAGAGCCCAACCTGTTTGATTGTGCATTTGATTCTGTCAATGACACCAGGGAACGCGTCATTTAATTTACTGATTCATCAGCTAGACCTTTGTCATATGCGTGGTCATCATTTCCTCATAGGGATGAAGGGCTGAAAACTCAAACTCTACCATGATCTTCCTATAAGAAGTGCAATGTGTTAACCTAATTGTTCCTACAGCAATTATATAACAAAGCTATTAAAATGACATGTAGGTTGAAAATACATTAAGGTTTTGAGTACAGGAAATTTATTTTTTCCCTATAATATGGTTCAAATCTCTAGCTATTTTTAGCTTATGATAGAGGGTTTTGAAAATCCCCAATGACTTTTTATTGAAATTTGCTTTTGATGCTAATTCCCCTGAAGTCCATTAAGGCCAAAAAAAAAAAAAAAATGTTTTTCTTCCCCTTATAAGAACTACCGAAAATCTTCGTGGAAAAGTGGCATAGCTATCTACCCACACTAAGTGGCAAGTGTTCTATCTTATCTCCACTGCTGAATGTCAACTTTGACAGTACCCATAGCTCCGTCTCAATGCTCTCTGGAGGCTACGAGCTATATTTGCCCTATTTCATAGGAATACGGCAAGGTTAGGGAGCAGGAGAGATGGGAAATACATTGGGTCAGAGGAAGAAAGGAGAGGAAGCTTAGGATTTTGTTTTGCTTCGTTTTAATAACAAAGATAACTCCAGGGTGTTATCTCCAGGGTGTCTAAGGACACCTGCTCTCTCCTTCTCAGTCACCTGCCCTTCCAGCCGGTTGAACTACCCTTCCTCTGCATCGCACCACTGGTTCCTTTCTACCTGCTGTTCTCTCTCCTTTCATGACCGTCTTGAGTTTCTAGAAGGCTGAGACTACGTCTCATGTCGAGCACAATATATATTTGTGCCTTGACCAGTTATGATTACAATAGGACATCTTTTGGCCCCTCCTGTAGATAAACAGTTACATTTCAATTTCGTAACGCTTTAAAATTCTCTTTTCCCTGCCAATGTCTATTCCCATTGTACAGCTTAAAGCCTTAGAAAAGTGAGGCATAGGATGCTTTAGTTCAAAGACCTCATGAACTAAAAGGCAGATGAGTGAGGATATGAGGGAAGTTGTTAGAAGTCAGAAGCAAACACCACTGAGATTTTTCCTTTCTTGTTCGTTATTTTTCTGTTGTTACTGTACAACTTCCTCAGTAGTGAAACTATGGAGCATGTACAAACCAAAGGCCATGGCAGAAACGCAGCACCAGAGGAAGACATGACTTTAAAGTGTCAGACATTCAATAATTATACTCTCCACTTGTCAGGGAAGGAGTCTGGTTGAGTCCTGACTTTGAATCCCTCCCCTGTGAGCTGTGTGTCTGTAGGCCTATTCCTTTACCGCGGTCTGCCTCAGTTTTCCATCTTTAAAATGGTAATAACACAACTACCACTATCATTTAATCCTGTGAGGATTAAATGATATAAAATAAAAGAAACCACCTAGTGTAGTCCCAGGTATGGGTGACTAATAAATTTTGGCTTTATTCCTCACTTCCAGTCATAATCCGCCCACAATCTGTGTTTAAACCTGGAACTGACAGGTGGAAGGGAAAAGAGAGAGCCGGGACTAATCCTATTGTTCTTGTAGCATCCAAGTGTCACAGACACTTCTGTTTCTAAGGCCAGCAGCCCAGGTCAGAGGCAAGGGGAAGCCTATAGCTCACGGAAAGCAGATGTCACTAGACATCCTGGGGCTTGGGGTAAGGTCGCCATCCCTTTCCTTCAGGTCAGTTTCCAAAGAGAAGGTCCAAATGAATCCTCATCACTACCGTCAGGAACTTAGGCCTCTTACCATCAGCTCCGGGACGTTTCATGTTCAGAGCTGCTTCCTAAATCATCTCTGAATGAACAGGTAAGCCATTTTACAGAGCCCAAGAGAGAGCTGGGGTCCCAGACCAAGACGTGCAAGAAGCAAGACATTTACAGACCAGGACCTCGCAGGGCCTGCAGCCCTGGCGTGGCCGGGACGGACCGCTTTCCAGGAAGGTGAGTGGCACCCGATCCGTCTCTACTGTTCCAGTTAGTTCGCACACGGGCCAGAGGCCAGCAGTACCATCCATAAGCTCAACACAGGCTTTGGACCCTTTTTTGCCGCTTGCAGCTGCGACCTTTCAAGCCAGGGATGAAAAAAGCCACGATGTTGTAGGTGTATCATTGTTATAGCTTTAAACCTCAAGCTCTCTTTGACCAAGACAGCAAGGTTTGTTGAACTGAACGATTGTTTGTTCAGAATTGAAAATTCAAGTTTTTATTTTTCTCTGAGGCATGCTGGCAAGTTCTGCTCTCTAAACCCCAGTGATTCGTCACGATCCTAGGCAGCCAATCATGGGCGGGTCAACTTGGAATGGAACTGAAGGTGGTGGCTCGAGCTGCCCTGGTAATCGGTGTCACTCTGGGCTAGTGTCATCTTCTCCCCACAGACACCATTTCCCGTTAACCATGATGGGCTTGACATACAAGGAAATGTGCTGACATGAGTCACAGCCCGAAAGAAAAGCTGCAGAGACGATACCTGTGCACGATAATCCCTAACGACATTGCATGAAACATTCGGAGTGTGGGGACAAAGGGTATCTCATCCCAAATCAAGGTTAAAGAGCATATTTCTGAGTGGAGTGGAGGTTCACACACACACACACACACACACACACACACACACACCCTTATGGATCTGTCTAGCTTCCACGTCATTCCCATCTCTGTAGATGGCTGCCACGTGACTGGAAAGGTGCTTCAGCTCCAGCTTCAGTTCTTAATGGGCAACAAGACTAAAGCCTCACATATGCCTTCCTTCCTCTGACACCCTCTTTCCAATGTCAATTAACTAAAATGCCATGAATTTCAATCCTTTCCAAAACACTGCCTTGTCTTTCCTACAGAACAAGTCACCGTGAACCAAAAAAACCAAAAAACAGAAAATGAAAAACAAACAAACACCTCCCAAAGCCCATAACCATTAGACGAAGCAATACTTTTATGAAAGGGGAAGCCTGCCCCTCTCAACACCCATCTGCCAGGAATTACCGGTATGTAGAAATAAATTCAGTGAATGCTGATAAAGATGAACCAAGGCACTATTGCAACTGATTGGACTGTATTTGCTCCTGCTGGAAGAAGTGCAGTGGAGCTGGGCGGGGGTGGGGGGTGGGGCGCTGGGGTGGCTCAGTGGGTTAAACATCCGACTCTTGGTTTCGGCTCAGGTCACGATCTCGCGGTTTGTGAGATCAAGCCCTGCATTGGGCTCTGTACGGACCCAGCTTGGGATTCTCTCTCTCTGCCCCTCCCCTGCTCACGTGAGCCCTGTCTCTCTCTCAAAATAAATAATAATAAATAAACATTTTAAAAATGCAACAGAGCTGGGGAGATGCCATTGAGCAAACTACACTCTGTGAATGACTTCACAGACATCTCTACAAGAAATGAAGTTGGATATATCTCATTCCCCCACTACCTTCATTCTACAAGTTCATGATATGGTTTTCACCTGTAAATTCTGACCCCTTACCTTCAGAGCCACCATTCCCACATAACCCTACTCCCTCTGCATTTTACCTGTTTTTCATCAACCTGGGTGTTTCCAGGGCTGTGCACAATGAACTTTCCATCAGCCACATTTTCACCTAATTAACCACCCTGATGACAATAATTAGTATTGAGTCGCTCTTGGAATGACTTCCTAGGTATTCAAGCACAACCTGCACTTGCTATAAAGTTCTACATATAAATATTAATCAAATGCCCTCCTTTGTTTTTCAGCCCCAAAGGGATATTTTGCAATCATACAACAACTATTTTTAAAAAGAAAAAAAAAAAAAAACACAGTGAGGTGTCGTTTTAACAAATAAAAAAGAGAATTAATACATTGGGGTTACAGATCTCAGTCTGTGGTCTGCTGAACACATCCATGCGAGTATTCCCAGGGCTCATGTGTGAAGGGAGTCTGGGTAGAATCTATTGAAAGAAGCCATTTTCCCAGTTTGAGTCTTTTGCTCTTCCTTTTCCTGCAAGTCTCAGCTTAGAATTCAAATTTACTTTGACATGTGTTTAGGTCACTATGGAGGGGGCTCATCACACACAGAGGCTAATGGAAGGATACAGATTACATATCTTCTTACTGCTGTGGAATTAGATGCAGGCAAGTTTGTCAACTTCAGGCAACCTCACACCGTCCCCAGCAGGCTAAAGGAAAAGACACCCATGTGCTGGATACTGTGGTTTGATGGGTCAAACCACAGGAGAAACAAAGTAAGAAAGGATTTCCCTTGTTCTTGTACCTAATTATGAACACCCAGGAATTAAAGTGAATGGA